ATGGACTGAGAAAAAAGATAAACCTGTCTTAGACTTGTATTTAAAATGTAATAAAATAAATATCTTAAATGTCCCTAGATCATTTATATACACAATGCACATGTATGTGTTTGGTGAATGTATTCCTGTTATTACAAAATTACATTGCTTTAAAATTTACTGTTCTAACTGTCAGTCTCCCACAAACTACCAGCAGAGTGACTGGCAGGCAGAATTGCGTGGTTAGTGAAAAAACTTGATGTGATTGCGTAGAGCTCATTGGAATGAATAGGACTTTGAGCAACAGCGTTTTTATTCTGAAAGCAAAAAGCCTCAGATGACTTCTCTTTCCTGTCAAGTTCTGGATGTTTTGATGCTTTTCTTGTTTTTGTTTTCACCCTGAATTTTGTACTTTTCTTATGTACACTGAATGTGAAATTAGCCTAGTGTATTTCTTTGGGGATCTAGGATTTTGCTAGGTGATACCAAGGGATGGATGTAATTCAGTGACATTTTGTCAGGCTGTTAAAGAGTAAATTTTCCTTGACTGTGGCAGGAGGTAATTATTTTTTGTTTGTTTGTTTGGTTCTGACACAGGGGAAAAAAATTGGGGGTTGCTTTTTCAACTACTCCAAGATACTTTCTGTTCTGTTTGGCAGGAAGGGAAAACACATTTTATTACTGGAGTGATTGCCAGCTTTTGCTTTTCCCTACAGACTTGATGCAGTTTTTAATACTATGAACATTTTTTTCAACATTTATCTTAGGTTCCATAGTACATGTGCAGGATGTGCAGGTTTGTTACATAGATAAACATGTGCCATGGTGGTTTGCTGCACAGATCAACCCATCACCCAGGTATTAATCCCAGCATAAATTAGCTATTTTTCCTAGTGCTCTCCCTCCCCTACACCCCTCAACAGGCCCCAGTGTGTATCGTTCCCCACAATGTGTCCATGTGTTCTCATTGTTCAGCTCCCACTTATAAGTGAGAACATATGGTGTTTGATTTTCTGTTCCTGCATTAGTTTGCTGAGGATAATGGCTTTCAGCTAGATCTATGTCCCTGTAAAGGACATGATCTTGTTCCTTTTTATGGCTGCATAGTATTCCATGGTGTATATGTACCACATTTTCTTTACCCAATCTATCATTGATGGGCATTTGGGTTGATTCCATGTCTTTGCTATTGTGAAAAGTGCTGCAATGAACATACATGTGTATGTGTCTTCATAACAGAATGATTTATAACCCTTTGGGTAAATACCCAGTAATGGGATTCCTTGGTCAAATGGTGGTTCTGCTACAAGGTTTTTCAACATTTTGCAACATCAATCTCTTAGTGGTTCTACTCTCTCTCCCTGAAGACGTTTGTGATGTACTTCTTAATCCTCTGATCCCTCCTGGCATTTTATTTGTAGTGTGCCCTGTTACAGTCATTCAGCAGCTCACATGGAATATACTCTACCTACCAAACAGATTAATAGATGTGGCCTACACTCTAGTGGGCCTACAGAATGACCATCTAAACAAATGATAACAATAATAAAAACACTCTATATTGCCTTTTGACGTAAATAGTTATTTATGCAGATGGCTCTAAAAAGAAAGCTCTTTGAATGATATTTTCATAGCCCAACTCCATGCTTTAAAATTTTAGGTACTTGATTAAAAAGCACCAAAATAACGTAACTGCCTATTAGGCTGATTGGACTGTTTCTAGAAAATTATTAACTAAATTCTTAGCTACCACCACATTCCTGAAATTTCTTTGAGACCATTGGTGAGGACCAAGTCCTCAGTTCAGGAGTTGATCAATGCCTGATGCCTTCATGGTACCTGTCCTCAGATTCTAGTTCTGACAGTAAGTGGGTTCCCCAGGGGAAGTCATCTTTACAACCAAATGAGACTAACACCTCTCACCTATATTCCATTATTCTTAAAAAGGCCTTTAGGATCATTTATTGAAGAAGGGAAATTATTAACCTATATTGTTCTCAACAAAAGTTTAATTTGAAAATCTGATACTAGTGAGGTTGCAAGGAAAGATGAAAGCTTATACACTGTTGGTGACAGTGTAAATTTGTTCAGCCACTATGGAAAGCAGTGTGGCAATTTCTCAAATGACTGAAATCAGAATTACCATTCAACCCAGCAATCCCATTCCTGGGTATACTCAAGGAATATAAATCATTCTACTATAAAGACACATGCACATGTATATTTATTGCAGCACCATTCACAATAGCAAAAGCATGGAATCAACTTAAATACCCATCAATAGCAGAATGAATAAAGGAAATGTAGTACATATACCATGAAATACTATGCAGTCATAATAAAAGAATGAGACCATGTCTTTTGCAGCAAAATAGATGGAGGCCATTATCCTATGTAAACTAACAGCAGGAACAGAAAATCAAATACTACATGTTCTTGTTTATAAGTGAAAGTTAAAAAACAAGAACACATGGTCACAAAGAGGAAACACCAGACACAGACACTGGGGCTCTCTTGAGGGTGAAGGGTGGGAGGAGGGAGAAGGTAAGAAAAAAATACCTTAGTATGCTTAGTATATGGGTGATAAAATAATCTGTACACCAAACTCCCATAACACATGTTTACCTATATAACAAATCTGCCCATGTACCCCTGAACCTTAAATAAAAGAAAAAAGTTATTTGTAATGTACACATTCATCATATTAATTTGAGAAAAATTCCAGCAGGTAAGAATTTTTAGGCTTCACTAACAGAGACACCATAATTATAATAATAATTATAAAAGAAGCTTCTGAATTCTTACTGCGTGTTGGTACTATGTATTTCTGCAAGCCATCAGCTCAGTCATTTTTTTACATGCCTCTGGTAGGCAGGCACTGTTATACCCATTTCATAGATAAGCCAACTGAGGCTTGCCTAGTTTCTGGGTGAATCTTACCAGAGGTCTTTTTTCTTTTAAGAAGAATTCTTTCCCAGAAAGAGTTTTAATCTCTGTTTCAAAGAGAGAGTTGGCATCCTTACCAGTTCTCCAAACTGTCTGAAGACTGGAGTGGATATGGATTAGGGTTAAACTGTGATGAGATTCAAGATCTTCTACCCCAAAATATTAAGTGGGAAAGCCACTCTAACCTTCCCCTCACCACTCTTCCTTGAGGCAGGTCATAAAACCTAGAAAGTTCATTTTCCTCACCCTTCTCTCTGGAAGTAGGTCGTAAGATCCTCATGTGAGCGGTACCCTTCCTACACCCAGAAGAAAGGAACCAAACACAGACAGTCCAAGAAGGATCTGAACAAACTGTGCTTGCTAGGTTCCCCTAGTTTATTACCACTGATCATACTTTTTCGTCCTCAAATCATATTTCACCATGACTGTCCACTCTTCATCAAACCTAAGTATAAAAATACACACACTTATCTACTTCTTTGGATCTTCATTTATATAGGCTCCCAGGTCACGTAAAACTCCTATTACAAAAATATGTATTTTTTCTCTTGTTAGTCTGCCTTTTGTTATAGAGACCTGAGTCACGCATCCTGTGGTGGGTCTGGAAAGAGATCATTTCCACGCTTAGAGCTGGAATATTCATTAAATGTCTACATAGCATCTGGCATTTTTGCTTGTTTGTTTTAATTGCTGTTTTTAACCCCTATCAACTTCTAAACAACAAAGGGGTCATCTGGGATTTCACACTTATTATTCAATGGAATGGATTCTATGGACAGTATATACTTTTAGCATTTCTTACAATTCACTAGGAAGCTGCTGCTCAGTTAAGAAAAAAAAAAATAGTAGCCATTGTCTTCAAGGATCTTAGATATCTAAGAAGCCAAGGTGGTGAGAAATGAAGGTTGAAATCTTGTTTCTTTCTCACACACTGGAGGTAAATAATGGCATCATAGGTTTGTTGTTTATAGATCTTTACAAAATTGTTTATTTTTACAGCTTCATTTTTCATTTAAACATTTTATGTGGTCATTCAGCAGCCAGAATAAATACAATAGATTATCTGAAAAATATGTTCATGTGAAGACTATATTAACACCTCTTAGTGAAATACCACAAAATAAAATTAATGAAAAGAGTATCTTTTAACAGAAGACCTAAGGGAAAATGAGGAAAGAAAGTACACTCCTATTTTTTTAAAAAAATTATTTTCTTTTTAAATATCACTATATACCTATATTAATTCTCATTTTTTTAAAGAAGTTGATGTCAACAGTGTAAAAGGTAATTCTAAATTTGTGAACAATCTGTGCCATGCCTAGCATCCAACGCATCTGCATGAAATGAATGTTCTGGGACTAATCCAGCCCCACTTCATTTTCTCCCAGGCTGCAGTTGCCTGGGAGGCACAATCTGCCCAGTCTGACATCTCAAAGAATCGCCTCCCTGCTTCTTCAGGTAACTTGATGCTCTCTGACTCACCCCCTAACAGTTCTCACCACCCCTGTTTTAATCCCTGTATCCAGGATCACTTTCTAATCTTATCCACCACTTCCTCTCCCAGTACTGTCTCCTCTAGAATTCCTTTGCAGGGCAAATACATTCCCCTATATCCATCATATATTTTCTGAACAGTTCCTCCAACGCTCTTCTTACCTACAATCTGGTTCTCGCCTCAGATCAGTGACCCTTACTTCCTCCATACATACACATTCATTACTTACAAAGTACACATGTCAGTGATCTCTCAGCCTACACAATCAGAAAAGGGGAAAAATTATACCAAGAAGCCATAAAGTATGTTCTTGATACATAAGGATGGCCTTTCCATTTTACACAGGATCCAGGGTGTCTACGTATGGCCTGTAACAGTGCTTGGCACATAATGGGTGATTACTGGGAATTTGCTGAATGAATGAATGCATGAATAAATGAATGCAGGCATGCATAAAATCCTTCATGATTATTACACAAAGAGTTTTATCTAAAGTGACATGGACAAAGATGGAAGGTGGAGATAGGAAGTTGGAGAAGCTGAGTAAAAAGAAGAGGCTAGATGTAGACAGGCTGCTTACCACACAAAGGTTTTCATGGAAATACAGCCCCACATCATAAAAGTTTCCACTGTGCCTGATGGGGTGTGCTCTCGTCTTCAGCTCCTCCGTTTGCAGCCACTGCAAGACACAGCCTCCCAGTTGACCAAGCAGGGACAGCCTGAGTACATAATAGCCTGGGGGAGCCTTGTCTTTAAGGCCCCTCAGGCATCTGATCTGGATTTGCAGAGGCTGAGGTGGTTGAGACTGCTCATTCTCCACAAAAGGCAGGGTTCTTGAATTACTCAGGAACTGGGTGAAACCACACAATTAGCAACAATGGGCTTCTCAGGGGGGAAAATGTAGATAATTATTTTTATCCAACCTGTAATTGTCAGGTATTAGCCATGATAACAGATGAAGACACAAGATATATAATTAGGGGGTCAAAAGGCAAACCTGCTGTTGATGGGAGGGAAAGTTTAGCCATTTTTTCAGCATGGTATGTTAATGATCTGTGACATCAGAAACCATTCATCTGCTATAGTAAGATAGAATTAACAGGAAACCAACACTTCTAAAAACCACTCAGCATGTCTTCTAAGGTATCTGGGGTGGGTGAACATGGGCAGTAAGCTTCAGATTTGGAGTTTGAATGGTGACAGTCCTGACTTTAACACTAACCACTGACCATAATGCCATGTTGATAAGCAGAGTGCAAAACAGGTCAGACTAACACCTCACCTGATCTGATACTTCCAGAGTTTCAACAGGATGTCAGCTTGCCCCACTGGCTTCAAAGGAGAGTCAAAAATGGTGGGAGGTGGGTGGAGGGATAGTATCTGTACGTGCTCTTTCCTAAAATTCAGCACGAATTGTGTGTGAATGAGGGACATGACTCAAGAATATTTTAGAGGACATTTAATTTCATTTTTCACCTAAGGCTGAGAGAAGCAGACCATTTTCATTTTTAATAAGTGCTGAAAAGTTTATATATACTGATAAGATTTTAGTGGACTATTTTTCAGAATAAACAAAAACTAAACTGAGATAATTATTAATAACAACTCAAATGTAGTAAAGTAATATTTTCTATACTTACAAGTTCTTAATATTTTTCAGAATTCTTTGACCTCAGAGAATCCCATTACCTTGTACTTAAAGCAAAAATAATGTCCTTTCTGGAAGCAAGTTACTACTCTCTTGGCTACCCAAGTTATAGTGCCACCAGTTAATCTGCAGCCAAGAGTAAGCATTTTTTAATCCTGCCTAGACTTTATTTTGTGGGAGATAATATATATTTCCATAAAGATAGTATGCTTCTGGAATTAAATCACAGTTAAATAAGCAGTGAAACTTGTTCGGCTTTCTT